TTATTATGATCACCATATTGCATGTTAAAGGGAATATGTAATTGAAAATCACGCCTAATAAGATAATTTTGACAACCGGTTTAGGTTCCTTTTTAATCTTGTTGTTTAATTCAAGTGATCACAATATTTTAGAATTATATGTTGCATTAATATTCAACCAATTTAGCTTAATAATAGTTTGGACCAAATTGAATCTCTGTTTGCATGCCTTTGAGATCGCAGGAATCACTTTTCACTATAAGAATCGAATAGAGGCCAATACGGGCGAATGTGACTCCATGACTCACTTCGTACCATCATCCCTGATCCTCCTTTCGTGGTTCCGAACTATATGGAGTTAGTAATCTCATGGATTATGAATGGGGTGTAACCTTCACGGGTCAATCATTGTTGCCTATCGATGTCCCTTTATTGTGGTTGCCTTTTTATGATCCGTGAACGGTTTACAAGTTCCTTAAGAACTTGTTGGCGGCGCCCTACTTTCCTTGTCCCTAATATATGTCAATTCCCACTTCCTAAGAGTACCAAGCATATTCACACATGCTTTAACGTAGGCACACATCGAACGACGCCTACAGATGATGATGTGAAATGAAAGATTTTTGGAGAATAAATTAAATTATTTATCAATATAAATAATTTATTAAAGAAATAAATAGGATTTTTATTAATTAAAACAAACTAAAATTATCAAAATAGTATTAAGTTCTAGAACATATGTACTACATAAGCTCAACGACTCAATGTGGTCATGTCACTTATTAATTTATAACTGAAAAAATAGAATTAAACTGTAATTAAAACTTATTATCCAAAACGAGAAAAACTATAAAATCTAATCCTTTCGGACGTTGTCTCTCTTGTCAGTGAATTGTTTGTAGCTTTCAGGATTGAAATCAGAATCATCTGTCTGTTCCATAGGTTCAGGTGTTTGAGGTTCGGGTTCTACTTGTACAAACACTCCCTCTTCCTCCTCATCAGATGAGATATCTATAACAATCGGAGTTCGAGTTGGAGGTGGATTTAGATTTGATATCTCCATAAGTGAACTATCTTCCTGTTGTTGTTCCCCATTTTTTGCTTGATTTCTCCATGAAGAAGAAGAAGAAGAAGAAGAAGAAGAAGAAGAAGAAGAAGAAGAAGAAGAAGAAGAAGAAGAAGAAGAAGAACTTTCGGACTGATGACCAGGTGGAGTATTATTCCCTACTGGATTGTTATAATAATAATCAGGGTATGGAAGGTGCAAATGTTGACAATGTGCTTTTTTAACCATAACGACGTAATAAGTTAGGAAATCATAATCTGGGTACCATTGACCATAATAATCTTTTTATTAGTGGTAGTTTGGGATGTCTCCTAGAAGATAAAAGTCAAAAAATCTTTCTTTGACAGCAAGGTGAGGAGGCTCTTCTGGGAGACAATGAACAATCATTGCTGAAATGTGGTCAGGGGTGTCATAAAACTTATCTTGTAAGACATTACTGATATAGGAACAAATATATCGGATCCTTTCTACATAATCATAGGGGTGTTCATTATATTTTTTTTAACGAGTGTGCCCAACTGGGTGAATTTTCTAGGTAATATTGGCATCCTGTAAAGAAAAAGACTTAGAATAGAATTCTCTTCACAAAATAAATAAATAATAAAGTTCTTGCATGAATTAGGTTCAATGTTCAATCAAACAATTTTAATCATTTCTAATCACATAATCACATGCTCACAAGTAATCCATAAACATGACTAAGCATCACAACCTAAATATTAATGCATACAAGAACATGATTATTTCTAACTTATACGCCCAATTTCTTTACTACCGAATCTCACCAACATGCTTTTTTAAAAGCTATTAACACATAATACATACCTTAATCCTTGCTTTCCTGCAAAAATGAACAAACTAAAAATAAATATTTTTGACTCTTTTTTAATTAAATTTCTCGAAATTAAATAATAAGGAATACCAAAATTTCGGACTCCCATTTAAAAAAAAATTCGGACCTTCCCTCTTAAAAAAAATCGGATCATTTAAAAAAAAGTTCGGATCGTTTAAAAGAAATTTCGGCCCTTAAAAAAAATATTCGGACCCTCCTAAAATAAAATAAAAAATTCGATTTTAAATTTAATCAATAAATATTTAATCCTATTAAAATAAAGTAATTAAAATAAATTAGAAATAAAAATTAATTCTCCAAAAATTTTACCAATAAATAAGTACTTGGCCAAATTTAAAATTAAAACACGTTTTTGGCTTTAGTGGTATAAAATCTCAACCTAAGCTCCCAGATACCACTTTTTAACACTCTAGAAATTCCTTTCTTTTAAAATACCTATTTTTCTAAGACATTACCGCCACCGTGAACAAGGTTAAGGAAAATATCAAAGACACACAGCGGAACTCTAATTTCAAAACAATTCAAAACAAGTCAACTTGAAAAGTCTATCAATGAAAGTAAAGTCAAACCAAAGTCAAACAAAGTAAAAAAAAAAAAATCAACCTACAATTTGGAACCATTGTAGGCCTTTATTAAAACAAAAACCGAACTCAAAACCTTTTGTTAGTCACACATAATAATAAAGTCATAAATAAATAAAGCAATAACACATTCATATACTTATTGAAACTAGCATGATTCGCTCTTCACTCATGCCCATTCATGAAAATGCTTCATCACCTGAAAAGTTTATCTCTACTTGTTTCCACTACTCTCTATTTAAAAGTGAACTGTTAAACATCGCCCGCAAATTCCTACATAAAGCCCACAAAATAAGAGTGAAATTACACTTTTGCCCTCATACTAAAAAACACACAATTTCTCTCTCTACTCTCTACTTCCACTTTCTCTCTCTAAATTATTTCCAGAGCTATGTCGAGGCGGCCCGGCAAGGAAGTGGCGGCACCGGCGGTGGGCGGAAGGCGGTTTGCCGGCCAGAAGGTAATTTTTTTAATTTTTATAATTTTTTTTTAAAAAAAAAAACCTCCGGCGACGGTGGGGCGCCAAGGCGAGACGCCACCACCACGGAGGAAGCGCCTAGGCAAGACGCCCGTACGGTGGTGGCGGCGCCTAGCCCAGACGCCACTACCACGGCGGCGGCGCAGAGGCTAGGCGCCACGGCCGTGGTATTGGCGTCTGGGCTAGGCGCCGCCACCACCGTACGGGCGTCTTGCCTAGGCGCCTCCTTCCTGTTTATTTTTTTTAATTTTTTTTTTGTTTTTTTTAATTTTAAATTTTTTTTCCGAATTTTTTTTTTTTTTTTAAAAAAATTTGTTTTTCTTTTTTTTAAATTGTATGTTCCCTTTTTTTTTTATCTTTTTTTTTAAATTTTGTTTTTTTATTTGTTTTAATTTTATGTTCTATTTTTTTTGTTAAAAAAAAAAAATTGTATCTGGTTTTAATTTTTAATTTTATGTTCCTATGTATTTTTTTTTTTTGAATTATATTTTTGTATGTAAAAAAATTATAAGTTCCCTTTTTTTTTATAAATTTTCTTTAAAATTTTGATGTTCTTCTTTTTTTAAGTTTTTGCAATTTTAAATTTTTTAAGTTTTGTTAGTTTTTTGTTTTTGGTTTTTTCTTTGCATTTTTGATTTTTTGTTTTTGTTTATGTTTTTCATTTTTTAGTTTGTTGTTTATATTTTTTGTTTTTGGTTATATATTTTGTTTTTGGTATATTGTTTTGTTCATATTTATATTTTGTTTTTATGTTTATATGTATATTGTCTTGTATATATTTATATTTTTTATGTTTATAATTTTATTTCCGTGACTTGTTTATTTGCTTTTGTGTTTATTTTCGACTTTTTTTAATTTGTTTTCGTTATTATGTTTCGTTATTTACTTGGAGTTAGGCATCGCAATTTAGACCTGGTGCGGGGAAGAGTATTGACGTCGTGAGGAGTACGATCTACTCAATGGAGAGCTCGGGGCCCAGACACGTTAGATCCCGTGGTATTTCGGCCTCGGCCCGCAGAGAACGGGTGCACTGTTCTGCGGACGATCAAGATGATGATGATGATGATGAGGAGGAGGAGGAGGAGGTCGAGGAGGAGGAGGTCGAGGACGAGGATGATGCAGATGAGGATGTCGACGATCAGAGTGGACCATATGATGATTACGGTCCATTCAGTCAGAGGCTTGATGATACGTATGAGACGCATAGGGTAGATGTGCGTAAGGGTCGAGATGGTAGGTTTGTTAGTAGATCTGGCACATCATCTGCGTCCACTGTGTCTGCGGGTAGCAGAAAACGGTCGAGGGCCGTTAATGATTCTTGGATGGTGAGGGGTGAGGTGGCCGGGGGACCTATAGACGGGAGTGTGATTCCTAGCTTTTTAGGACACATCGCTACCCGTATTTGGGAGGACCAGGAGAGGGCTTTGGATACAGGCATTTTGAAATGCCAAACCCGGGAAAAGACTTGTAGGTTTTTGTGTAGCTGGGCTGATGCTTGGCCGGAGGAGAGCGAGATGGTCGGGCGATTGAGGGCCACTAGAGTGAGTCACCTTCCTGCCACCATGCACGACAGGATTGACTGGACGCTGATCACGGCTTTCGTTGAGCGATGGCAGCCGGATACGAACTCGTTCCACCTTCCGTTCGGTGAGATGACGATCATGTTGCATGACGTCGAGGCCATCCTTGGGATTCCCGTGGAGGGAAACCGAGCATCTGTCGTCACTGATGCGGATCAGGCAGATTTACTAGCGGAGCTGTTGGCGGTGGATAGGGCTGCGCTGTACACATCGGCACTTGGTGTGTGGGATCACGGCGGCGTTAAGATCGCAGCCGTCTTGCAGCGATGTTTGCACCCTACGGCACGTAGGACGCAGGACACACAGCTGGCTGCATATGTTTTTCTTCTTCTCGGGTGTACCTTGTTTCCGGATAAGAGCGGGAACAAGCTCAGGCCACGCGACATAGTTGACGCGTGTGAGCCCGACAGAGTAGGCCAGTTTTCTTGGGGGTCGGCTACGCTGGCGTATCTGTATCGCCAGTTAGGATTCTCGAGCCGGGCTGATGCAGCAGGTATCACTGGATGTCTGACGTTGTTACAGACCTGGATATACGAGTATTTTCCTGCGTTTCGACCACACCGCGACCCGGTTCCCATTGGTGATGGCCAGCCACGTGCCTGTGCGTGGAGTCCGCGTGTCGAGAAGAAGTCCGTTGACCGCCTGCGCTCCATACGGTTATCGCTTGACAGGATGTCCCCCTTAGAGGTACAGTGATTAAATTATTTCTACTTTTACAATCTGATGCTTTATTTTATGACTGTTACTGATTTTAAATAATGTGCAGGTGAACTGGATGCCTTTCGGCCAGAACCCTAGTAATAGGGTACCCAGGACCCTCTACACTGGACTGATTCAGTATCGCGAGATCGTAGAGGCGTACATGCCGCAGCGCTGTCTTCGCCAGCTTGGATTTGTCCAAGTTGTCCCACCTCCACCGGCATGGCCCAGTAAGGCGGTACGATCTGCGTCGTCGAAGGAGTACGTCGTCCAATGGCCGTCAAACATGATATCCATGTGGGAGCAGTTTCCGATGGTTGCCCGCCTATGGACGGCGGAGCTGCAGCGGCCGCCAAGTGGGGTGACTGCCATGTGTGACCAACACTACATGGAATGGTACATCCGACACTCGCACCCGAGGTTGATCAAAGACATCGACGACGCAGATGATGACGATGTGCCACCTGCCACTGCCTCTTATGCGGTACGTCTCATCTTTTATTTGTTGTTCTCTTATTTTAATATATATATGTATAATACGTCGTTTCATGTTTTTTGTTTTGTGTAGTGGATGGGCAAGATTATGCAGTTGGGACACCGACTTTTTGAGGAAAGGGACTGCATGACGAGTGTTTGTTTATTCTCCGATGACACCGACGCAGATGATGACAGCATGCTCTCCGATAACGAGCGTCCGCCAGAATGGATGAACCTGATCGACATGTAACGAAGCCCTGTCTTGCGTAATTACGCGGTGAATGGTGCATGCACAAGGTAATCCATGAGTCATTGATATAGCACATCCGCACCGAATAGCCACTTCATCGCCCAACTCCCTCATCCTGGTATACTCGCTCAGAATCAACCCCAAACAGTGGTGTGACACACGACCGTGGAGAATCTTAAATATGAAATGGCCATACAACATGCCATGTCGTCGTCTGGAGTCCTCGAGATAGTTCTTGATGCCGTTCCTCTGAGTATCAATAGCCTTGTTTATTCTCTCGAACAGTGTATCCAGAGCAGCCGTGGAAGAATCAATCCAGTCCTTCAAAGCTCTATGAGCGCTCTCGACTCTGCATGTCGTAGTGTTCCCAAAATGAAGAACTTGGTTCGTCCAATATTTGACAAACTTTTCCCTCTGAGGTACCCACTGATGCATCACATAGTCTACGATTGGCGGGCACCACTTGTACGCATCCTTGAAGTTTTCCAAGGCTCGATCGTACTCTGCCTCTGTGGTAGCTTGCATGATCTTCCGCCACTTACCATTTACCAATGTCTCTGCTGTTACTAAATTCTTGTTGAAAAGATTGTAGGCTTTGACTTTCACGCAGTTGTTGATGTGCCATGTGCACAGTAAATGGCTCGACTCCGGAAACAGCTCCGCTATAGGGGCAAAAAGACCTCCCTCACAATCACTTACGATGGCCGATGGCTGTACATTTGGGCCGATGTAGTTTCTCAACTTTTCCAACACCCAACGGTAACTCGCAGCCGTCTCATCCTTCATGACTGCATAACCAATCAGAAAGTTCTGGTTCGTTGGAGCCATCCCAACCATCTCAACCAGTGGGAACTTGTACTTGTTTGTCTTGTACGTTGAATCGATCAAAATCACAGATGGCCAAGACGAAATCATATCAGCACAATCAGGATGGACAAGGAACAAATGAGTTACCTCCGATGTGTCTTCGTCAGATTCAAACCAGTAAAGGTAACCACGTGCTTGTGCCTGGTGCAGAAGTTGCTGTATAGGGTTCCTTCCCTCTGACCGTTCAAACCTCAATTTCTGTCTGACGTTGTAGATGTGTCTTCGGTTTGGCTGGTCTTCGGGGAATTTCTCTAACACAGACGCTAATATTTTAGCGGGCTTCACTTGAGCATCACTCATTTCTTTTACAACTAGTTTCGCAGCTGGACTTAGGCCGCTTAACTGCCGATGCCCCACTTTGTATGCTATCAGCTCATGGTTGTGATATCCCCATTTGCCGTAACCCTTCACTTCCCAACCGTCACGCCTTTGATGTTGTCGAACCTTAACTCGGAACTGACACCCACAACCTTTCCGCTTTGAGTCAAACCGAATCGCTTTACTGAAATCTCGTTCTTCTCTTTTGCGATAACGGTCGCATCTCAAAATGCGATCCATTCTACCATCCCGTTGAGATTTATGAGTTGCTACTACTAAACAAAAGCCTGATCTAATTGCAACCTGTTTTGCCCAATCAATCGCTTGTTGAGCATCTTCGAACAGGCCATCATGTACAAAAATCCCACTGTAATCATTTCCGTCTCCACCATAATCCTGTAACAATAACATATAACGTATAAATACAATTACATTAAGATTAAATTAACAAAAAAAAAAAAAAAAAAAAAGGGGATTAAATTAAAAAATAAAAAAAAAAATAAAAAAAAAAAAATATTCCCCTACTGGCGCCTGGCCAGGACGCCGGAGCCACGGCCGGGGCGCCTGGTCAGGACGCCGCCGCCATGGTGGCGGCGTCCTGGCCAGGCGCCTTGGCCGTGGCTGCGGCGTCCTGGCCACGCGCCACTACTATGGTCGAGGCTTCTCCACCAGGCGCCGTGACCACGGTGGCGGCGTCCTGGCTAGGCGCCACAACCACGGCATGGCCTTTTGGCTAGGCGCCAGCCACCATTTCGTCCTTACGATGCGTTACGAACCTCGTTTTCCGATGACGACGGCGATTCTCCGGTGATCCTCGGCGATCCGGTGCTGCTCCACATTTTTTTAGTGCGAAAAATTTATCTTCGGTTAAAATTATAAAAAGGGCAAATTTGTCAAAAAATTATAAAATGTGGGCTTTATGTAGAGATTTGCGGGCGATGAATAACAAGTCCCTAAAAATGGGTCATCATAGGGCCAAGATAAAGATAAGGCCAACAAACATACAAAATACACACAATCAGCAAAGCTGAGTACATAAGCGTAATTAACACACTAACACATAATTTCCTATCAACACACAACTTACCTCGTAGCACCTGGTTTTCATGCATACAACATTCAACAAAATTTCTCACTAGACACTACATCATTTACAGTAGTAGAAAAACATAAATAGGCACCGAGTTAGTGGAACAAGTTTTTAAAAACTGGTGGCAAAAAAATTAGGCGGGATTAGTATAAAAGAAATGCCACCGGTTCAAACCAAACCATTGCTAAATTGGTGAAATGGAACCGGTTTGAACCGGTGGCAATTCATTAATGTAAAAAAAAAAAAAACCGCCCCTCTAGTTTCTTTCTCTTTCCTCAATCTCGAGTTCTCTCTCTCTCTTCTTTCTCCTGTCTACTCAACTAAGATGTCCCTCTTCTCTCTCTCTTTCCTCTCTCCTAAACTAGATCCAGGATTTCTGATTTCTACTCCACCTTACCCTCTTACATCTGCTTCTCCGGTGGCCATCCCGATCAAGTCCGAAACAAGGTTCTCTATTCTGGCGGCTTCAACTGTTCACATGGTTGGTAGTACTGTAGCATCGTTTATTCCAGGTAATTCGCTTCTACAGATTCAATTTTTTAACAATTTGGGTAAAATTAGTCTATGAATTTATATAATCAACTATGGGAATCGATTTATATAACATGCAAGGTAGAAAACCCAATTTTTTTGCCGAATTATTCAAAATGTGAGCGTTTATTGGAGTCGATTGATATAATTAATTGATTCTGTCACACTATTTTTGGTTCGGTCTCTCTTTTTTTTTTTCAATTTTTTTGCGATTCTTTGTTATTGGTTTAATATGATTATTTTCTTACTAATTATGTATTAAATTGTTGTTTTATTTTCGATTTTATTGTGATTTTTATTGCAATTTTCTGGCAATTTTGTTGACTGATTATACTCTATGTTTGAGTTGGGTATGCAAAATTAAAGATTTTCCACCCATGTTGGGTATACTCGTGTTGCTGCCATTCATTTTTCTTTTTTGGAAGTATGATGGTTTATTTTGTATTTTGGTTTTTGTTTGGTTATGAATCTGATGGGGTTTTTGATTTGTTGTGGAATTAATTTTGTTTGTTGGGTTTCGGGGATTGGGATTGATCTGATTGGATTGGGATTTTGTGGGTTTTCATTGGATTATTGTAATTTAATCTTATAATGTGGAACTGTGATGGGTTTTTGTGGTATGGTTCATTTTGGACTATGAGCTTAATTTGAGTGTTTTTATTTTTGATCTTAATTAAAGCTAGTATTGCTCTGCCGGTTTAATTAAAACTACACTACTTCTTGTCTTTGATTAATACACACTCTGAGATCTCTTATCTTTATTTGTTGATGCAACTTGTTGTCGGAGATGTTATCTATATTGAAGAGAACAATGGGGCACTTAAATAGTGAATTTTGGGTGGAAAATGTGTTCTGGAAATGGTTTTAACCTTCCAGGAAACGGTTTTTAGCCAAAAAACGAGCAGAAATGCACTTTTCGAGGGATTTTTCGTTTTTATGAAAAATTATGAGTCTTTCTAAACTTGAAAATTAATTGCATATTTATGGTGGTTATGTAATTTGTTCAATACATATTTTATATGCAATTTTAAACCTCTTTAGGCATGATTACTTGGTGGTAATTTGTGCTTGAAAGCTTGGTTTTATTTTTCACATAATTGCAAACTAATTGCATTAAGTGTGAAATTGTTGTTCTTTGAGGCTTCCAAGTATTAAAGTTTCAATCTTTAATAATATTAAGTGATTGAAACTTTAAGTTACTAAATTCCATGAATTTTTGTTAAACTTTTTTGATTTAATCATTTTTGGGTTGATTGGAATCATATAGTTTGAACCTTTGTGATAGAAAATTGTTTATCTTCACATTGGAAGATATAATTTTTCAAGGATTCACAAGTATTAAAGTTTGAATCTTTATTGAACTTATGTTCATTTTTTTTCCAACTCCCTCTTATTTTGTCAAAAACTTAAGATTAATTTAAATTAATTAAATTAATAGTGAGAATTCCCCTCTTATTTTTATTGCACCGAGTTAAACAAATTTAATTAAAGAATGGTTCTTGGGAATTATTTTGGTTAGATGCACTTTGAAAATTTTATTTTAAATTAGAATTAATTAAAATAGTCACAAAAAATTTGGTATCAAAATCCTGAGGCTTTGGCATGCAAATAAGGCATAAGAACCCTTGGCTAGCTGGGCTGCATAGCAACCCGCGTGTGGCTTCCAAGGGGCTGCCATGTGTTGCGTTCAGCCAAGCCGTGGCTGGTGCACACCGCCGCAAGTAGAAGCACAGCAGCAGCATCACAGCGGCAGCACGCTGCCTTGTGCGTGCGTGTGTGCTTGCTATGTTGCGTGGTGCATGGGGCTGCTGTGGCGAGGGTATGATGGCACGAGCATGGTGTACTTGGACTTGGTGCATGTGTCGTGTAAATGGGAATATGCGTAGATGTTGCTTGCGAAGCAATGTAGTGCAATGAGTTCGTACAACATGGCCATCAAGGGCCAAGTTATTAATGTGTGAAAGTTCGCTGATGTGGGCGGTATAACGCCTAGCGACATCGGGCCCACTCCCACTTTCATTGAGTATCAAACGGTGTTGCGGAATGTGAGCACTCCATGTCTTAGTGCTAGGCACTTAGACATTTTGGACTATATAATTTTTTTGCTTAAATTGTCGTTTTAATTATTTTATTAATCTAATTTGGCTTTAATTACTTTAATAAATTTTGGAGGCTAGGCCTCGGTTTTGAGCGGCATTGGCAAAATTTATTTTGACAAACTTTGGGTTTTACCGACTTAATTAATTGGATTAATTGAGTTGGA